AAGTATTCAAAAATTTAGCTAGACACAGATAAAACAGTATTCTTAAGTCTTAAGTAACATCTTACGGTACTAATTCAGCCCTCTAATTGGTTCTTAAGACTGTAACTTCAAATCGTCTCAAATGTAATAATCAGCTATGAATACCAGCCACAGATCTGAAAATAATTTTGTTGGACTAACAAAATAATTATGTGAGATGCTCAAACTGGTTGCCAGAATGTCAAAATTCTTTGCAGTATTACTTTCATGCTTGAGATTCTTACACAATTATTTTGACGGACCGACAAAATTATTTTCATATTTGTATCTAGCTGAATTTTTAAATACTTCGAGAAAATCGTTCTTTCCGTGCAACGAATTTCTCTATTAATTTTCTAAACACAATTTAAGCACTTTTCAAAACTGTAATTAAATACCTATTAATTTAAAAAGTGCTTAGAAGTTTCAATAGAAGAATAAAATCGATTTTGATCGAAACTGATTCAAGGCCGATATTTATAGGCTCTTATTTCAAGACCGTCTTAAGTAACGTCTTAAGCGGTGCTCTGATTGATTTGTGACATCTTAAAAACTTGAATATAAGAACTGACTATAAACGCTGACTTTAATAAGTTGATTTTTAATTTGCTCATATAAAAATAGTGTTTAAAATATTTAAAAAAAAAAACAGGAACGTCTTACACGATTTTGATGAAGAAAATGTCGCCTTACACTGTCCAAGTTTCCTCGTTACTGAAATCAGATATCTGGCGATGCACACACAGTCCCTCCTTCTGCATTATTATTTTACCGGGCTGTATGGTGCAACCCTTTGTTCGCCACATATGTGACAGGTGTGTGCTCGTGACGTAACAGCAGTACCGTTATATGCGCAGAACATATACGCCAGGTGAAACCCTATAAGAATGTAACACGACACAGACCATCATGAGACCGCTGTGCGCCAAATTCAGCGCTCCCGTGAAAGTGACTCGAATGGGAAGGCTTCTCGCGATCGAGATATTTATAGCGGTACTAGATTTTTCTGCATACATCATAATTCACGAATCGTTCCTTCGGATCTCTGCAGAGAAGCTGAGAAAGCAATATACGTTCGAAACATCATTCACTTCTTTATTACTATGATTAAATTCGGATAGCATACTAATTGCTGTGATGATAACCTCAGCCTAACAAGTAAATTACAATTTACGTTGAATTTGCTTGAAAATCAATTACACATTTCATTGCTCGCCTGAGAGAACGGTAAAAAATATAATTACGTTTGAAATAATAAAAGAATCATCTTTCGTAATTTAAGAATGTCTCTGTGTTAGAATTATATTCCTAATAATTATATTTCTAATAATTAATTGCAACAATTGGAAAAATTAAATGACGAAAAATTAAATGATTCGTTTAAAGATAATATCAATTATTTATTTTACTTCTTGCTTTTGAGAACGATACAAAATATAATTACGTATAAAATTATAAAAGAATGACTTTTTTCGTAATTTAAGAATGTCTGTGTTAGAATTGTCTTCTTAATAATTATATTCCTAATAATTAATTACAATAATTGGAAAAATTAAATGACGAAAAATTAAATGATTCGTTTAAAGATAATATCAATTATTTATTTTACTTCTTGCTTTTGAGAACGATAAAAAATATAATTACGTATAAAATTATAAAAGAATGACTTTTTTCGTAATTTAAGAATGTCTGTGTTAGAATTGTCTTCTTAATAATTATATTCCTAATAATTAATTACAATAATTGGAAAAATTAAATGACGAAAAATTAAATGATTCGTTTAAAGATAATATCAATTATTTATTTTACTTCTTGCTTTTGAGAACGATAAAAAATATAATTACGTATAAAATTATAAAAGAATGACTTTTTTCGTAATTTAAGAATGTCTGTGTTAGAATTGTCTTCTTAATAATTATATTCCTAATAATTAATTACAATAATTGGAAAAATTAAATGACGAAAAATTAAATGATTCGTTTAAAGATAATATCAATTATTTATTTTACTTCTTGCTTTTGAGAACGATAAAAAATATAATTACGTATAAAATTATAAAAGAATGACTTTTTTCGTAATTTAAGAATGTCTGTGTTAGAATTGTCTTCCTAATAATTATATTTCTAATAATTAATTACAATAATTGAAAAAATTAAATGACGAAAAATTAAATGATTCGCGTTTAAAGATAATATCAATTATTTATTTTACTTCTTGCTTTTGAGAACGATAAAAAATATAATTACGTATAAAATTATAAAAGAATGACTTTTTTCGTAATTTAAGAATGTCTGTGTTAGAATTGTCTTTCTAATAATTATATTTCTAATGATTAATTACAATAATTGAAAAAATTAAATGACGAAAAATTAAATGATTCGCGTTTAAAGATAATATCAATTATTTATTTTACTTCTTGCTTTTGAGAACGATACAAAATATAATTATGTATAAAATTATAAAAGAATGACTTTTTTCGTAATTTAAGAATGTCTGTGTTAGAATTATACTTATAATAATTATTTAGTAGCAATTGGAAAAATTAAATGAGTTAAACTTAATCGTAACAATTGTAATAATTTTATCATAATTAAAATCCTATTATGTTAGCTCTTTCTCCCGTTCAAAATCAGATTAGGTTTGAACAGAGCTTGTCAAAACTCACGAAGATATCTCCAGCGCTCATATATACGTTGGCCGTTGGTCGACGAGTGGTTTCTAGATCCATTTTACTGAATATTTGAAATTGCCACTCGGTGGTCTTTCTAAGAGCGTAGGAACTATCACGATGCGTTGAATTTCAACGGCTAACGAGCCCCGCTGCGATCACATAATCATGCCCAGAAAAGCGGAAAATCATGCCGCGACAAAAGGAACTTTGGAAACCTGGTAGAAAGCATAACGGACTGCTGCGCGGTTATGGGGATCAGAGGATAAAGTTCAATCGCCTCATACTATCCTTCGAAACTCATCGTCTATCTTGTTTCCTTTCCCTCAGCTAATTAACTTCATTAATATTAACAATTACGTGAGCGTCATCTATCTAACGAGTCTAGCTGAGTTTATTGTCGGATTAATCGAGTGTGTATCGATTTCGTTTGAGCGCGATCACATCGCGGATGTGTTTGACGTTTCTCATCACGGAATTAGATGTGCGGTCTCATCTTCTCTCGCCTCTTTACGAACCGCCGTACAGCAGATGGTCTCCCTCTACCTACGCGCGACCTTATTCCTGACATAGAGCCAGAGAAGGAAGGACGCGCCTCTCCGCGAGGAGAGACGCCAGAACGCTGACACACTGACTCGCTACCCCACATACCCTTTTGCCTTTTCGACGTGTGCTCGCACGAAACCGCGCGAGTGGGGAAGATGAGAAGAGGGAGATAGTCGAAGAGGAGGTATTTGCCGGTGCTCTCCTCTCCAGACGAGAATCCAAGGAACATATAAAAAAGATCAATAAAAAAATCAAAATGACTGATTCTTAACATCAATAAGCAGTCAAAAAAAAATCATCAATTTGACTTTTATGACGTCAAAATAAGTCATTTGAACTTTCTCTTGACTTGGTGTGTTCTTTAAAGAAACCGCCGACGTTCGTCACGTTTCGTGAATGTCGAAGAAAAATTTTTGGCGCGAAGCGTATTTGCTCCGAAAAAATTAACCTCGAACAGAAATTTCGGGTGACAAAATTAAATAATAATGAAATAACGCAAATTTCATAGCCAAGAAAATATAATCCTTGATAGAATCCAACAAAAACCTAATTGTTTAATAGACACTATAACACAGATCTCCAAGGAATGTCTTAAAGCTCTCCAAAGGACGTCTCTACACCCTAAGGGTGTCCTCAGATAAAATGTGCTGTGTATGAGAAATTTTTTCATTGCGATAGAAAAAAGGAAATATAAGACACATTGATTCCTGAAAAAAGATATACCAACAACAATATTTTAATTGAAAATGATCTTGTTGATTTACAACGGTATTAATGAAACAAATAAAAAAGTTTTATGAAAACAAGAGCATAACATATTTGCTTCATTAGTAATGAATAAACACATTTTTTAATTAAAACAATGCTGTTGGTATAACATTATTTTTTTTAGTACCGGTATAAATAAATACCTATTGCATTTATACCTACTGCCTTATATTTTCTTTCTCTTATCATAATGAAAAAAATTCCAGCAACATACCTGACAGCACAGACCTTCAGGAGGAGACATCCTTAGAACGTCCAGAGGACGTCCGTATATCCTTTAAACATCCTAAAAATATCCTCAGGATATATCCCGAATAAAGTATATTAGGAATCAAGTGGAAAAATAGGAATATATTACAGCCAATTTTTAGGTGATTACGATTAAATAACTATAAGCACTGTCTCATCTGCCATCGTGTATCCTTTTTACTTTCACCGTCAGAAAAGGGCGCAGCAAACGTTGTGTCCAACGAAACGTATGCATATCGCACCACAGTTTAGACAGTCGTATCACTGATCACATATCAATTAGCACATATCAAATAACCACAAACCTCTTTTCCTCTTCGTGGTTCAGTGGGAAGCTCGATATAATCCTATTGGCACACACACTTGGCACTTGTGACTTCTTGCTGCCGCGTATCCTCCCTTATAGAGGCTTCTCTTCTTCGTTGGCGGCTCTCCCACCTTGGGACTGGCCGAAACTCTCGAGAGGGAAAAATCTTCTTTTTGTCTTTTTTTTTTTTACGCGGTTAGAGCGTCGGAGAAAAGATATTGTCGGTATTCAGTATAGATTATCAGATACTCGATTCGGTCGAAAGACACCGGTGACTTGGGCGAGTGCGTTAGTTGTGAGCACACCTGAAACGACCTGCGGCCTATATACTCTCCCCTCTCGAAGTCGTCGGCTTTCACCAAAAACCACCTCGGCTGCTCCAACGTGCTCGTCGCCTAATGGAAAAATCGAAATTCTACGTATCATCTATCCCGCCTCCTCGATTCTTTTTATAAAAAAAAAAGAAACCGGTCGACTCTTTAATCCGTCTCGTTTTGACACGAACAAATAGTTGGAAAACCCTTTACGTGCGTCACTCGCTTTCTTTTTTGTTAAGCATCACCGCATCGGACGGAGTTGCAACACAGCCGAGGCTGAATCATAAGCTTGGAGTTCGGTACGACCCATTCTATCTCGGTTGCATCGGCGCGACGGCGGAAGTCGAGCGCAAGCCGGATGCCAGCGAAAGTTCTCAGTTGCCCACGTTCAGGGCCACGGCAGCGGTCGACCTCAGGAATGTTCTTTTGTTGTACTTGCACTTTACTGACATTATTATTGTAATACTTATTAGAATATTGATGCATACACAGTTTTGTAACATTAATTACCGTGATTTAATTTTGCACGAGAAGAAAAATAAAATATGTATGTTGATGAGTTACATTGAGTATGTTATTCATAAAAAAACTTCTATAATGTTTCTCTTTGCTTGCATGAATGATAGGTTATTGAATAAATTAAAATTTTGGAACGTTGCTATTAATCCTTTGTTACATATTGCTTATTTGCCAACACAACAACATAATTAAAAAATTGTCATTTTTTGTTTAGTTGTTTATAAAAATAGAACAGTCTTTTGCCGTCCTTAACTCTAATAAATCGACATAACTGAGTTGCTAAAACTTACTATAAGAAAGAGCAGTTGTGTCAATATTGCATCATCGCATTTTGTTAATTATTTTGATTCAACAGTGTTTTATCTCGGTTACTTCTGAGCAGTTGTATTGAAAGACCTTATTTCGTTTTCGCACAGAACGTCATATCTTCCAGTTTCTACTTTTTATCAATTTTGGAAGTATTATTTAGCGTTTTATACTGAAGTTTTATAAACTAAACCATTTTATAACTGTAAACATATTTTATGTCATATTATTTGAGCTCATACATAAAGATATCTTTAGTTTTTATACTTTTATATACAGTAAGTTCAATAAGTGCAATTCATTTTCTTCTTATTTTATTTGAACTAAGAATTTATTTTTCATAATTCTTGTATTATTCAAGCTCTTTCATAAAAACAATTCAATTTATACAATACTTTTACAGTTATATTATTTTTATGCGTATACTACTGTATGAACTACTTTACTTTTATATTTTTTTATTATTCAATAATAAAGTGCAATTTATTTTTCATATAAATATATTATGATACAATTTTTTGCAATGATTTATTTTAATATTTTTTTTACATCCTTTCATTGTGTGTTTCATTCAAAATATTTTTTTTTCCTATTTTTTTCTGCAATGTTAAAAATCTACAATAATAATAAAATCTCAAATAATACAATAAAATAATTAATAATTAAACTTGTTTTTTATAACATTATATTACTAAATAATTTTTAATTGAACAGAATTTTGCAGCAAAAGTGTTATAAATCAAAGAAAATTGTTTTAAATGTTTGTTTTTATAAATGATAAGAATTTAATATTCTGAATAATGAATTAATAATACTTTTATTCCTGTACAATCAGTCATAAATAAATTCGTATTTAAAAATGACATTTACAAAATTTTAATGATTAAAAATATTTAAACTTATTTTTTTAAAAACTTGATTTTTTTAATTATGTCGTTGTTCCGGCAAATAAGATTCGTCTATTGTCTTCACAATTTTTCTACGTTTTCACGTATTTCAATTGATTTATGTAACATATTTGATACCTAAAAAAAATCTCTTTAAAAAAAAATACGCCAAGTGCATGAGAGAGAGAGAGAGAGAGAGAGAGAGAGAGAGAGAGAGAGAGAGAGAGAGAGAGAGTATCGAATAGATACTCTCTCTCTCATATCATATTCCTTCATCTAGGTCTTTATCCAAAAGCTTTAGAGATCTATGCTTTAATATTCTAAAATCCTTTAACAATCCTTGCTACTTACTTCAATTGCTATGGAAATGAAATCAAGATTGAGATATCATAAAGAAGTTCAACAAATTCTTCCTTAAAGTAACTATGAAATTTAGAGCAAGAGTTAACTTAAGGTAAAGTTTCAAACTGATTCTTATCCTTCGGCGTAGGATTAAAGAACAGAGTTTAGGAGATTTCATCTCGCATAAAGATGGAAAAGGATTCGAGGGCAACGACGGGATCCGAGAAATATTTCCGAGAGTCGCATACCGGAAGAAAAGTAACACTCGCCGATAACGTTCGTCGTGGAGATACCTAGGTGAAGGTCAACAGGTATTATTAAGTGTTTAGTTTCTTCTCTCGATCATCCGTAGCTGCAACTCGCTCATACGTATACAGGGAAGAATTACGTGTGTAACGGCTGTTGTAATAGTAAGTTAAGCACAGCTATGCGAATCCTGATTATTCGGGTCAAGGAAACTCTCCAATTTACTCGTCACTGAAAGCGGAGAAGCATCGTCTTCAATAATAACAAGATGATATCTAAATATACTATATACATTTACCAATACTGATCAATATGATTAGCATAATCCGATATTATATGTAAAATTTAACGTTATTGTCAGTAAGTCAAGAAGACGATATATAGTTTTTTTTTATGTATGTATTGAGTGACAGAACTCATTACCATTTTCTTCGACGAATCCACGTGATTTTTTGTTAAAAAAATTCATGAATTAACAATTATGAATGGAATATCGTGTATTCCTTGTGGATTTTCTCACAGCAATAATTATGCTAATTAATATATTGGCATACGATGTTATTGGCCAAACAATGAGCTAATGTATGTTAATTGAAATCCTTATAGGCATCGCCAGGTGGGACAATGCATCGCAAGTTTTATGAAACGAATCATTGACATTCCACCCACCCTTGTTCTCTTTTCCTAATACATCTCTCTCTCTCTCTCTCTCTCTCCCCCCTCCCCCCCTCTCTCTATCTCTTTCTTTTTCTTGTTCCGTCTCCTCAAGCAGATCCAATTCCGGAAGAAAGCTGCGCGAACAAATTCCGCGTCGGCCGGAATGGTGAAATTGCGCAATTTTTCCTCGCGCTCTGACGTCAGCGACCATTCAGGAGAGCTCCGCGCGGCTTTCACACGGATCTTGCTTTGTTGTCTAGATACCTACATAAGTAGGGACTCATTGCAAGAGCTTGACCAAAGAAAGGAAAGATCACGGTAACAAATAAATTTCATCCTGTTTACCTTTTACATCGGGTAACTCATGTCTTCTCAACTGAAAAATTACTTCAGCGTTTATTTCAATGTCGAGGCCTCATTGCGAATTTAGCATTGAAGATTAAAGAGTTCTTTTCGAAGAATGAGTATAAAAAGTCAAATAAATAATAGAAAGTAGAATAGAATTTCATGCCGAGTCTCGTTGTAAATTCAAAGAAAATATGAGGCCACTTATTAACGTCCTAATTCCAAATTTTGAGAAATGATAAAGTCTCTTATCAAATTGTTAGAAATGTATTTTGTTAAATTAATTTCTAATTTTTAATAGATAAATATTTAATATTTCTTTAACTAAAAACCAATGTTTCTAGAACACTCTGTACATTCTTTTACGGTAACTGATATCAAGGCAAAATGGCACAAGCTTTTGTCAGCCGGAAAAAAGAGCGACAAAATTGCGGTTGTTAACTGCAGACCTCGGGAATAGAAATGGGCCAAGCCCGAAAATCAATAAACTGCAACTAAAAGAACAACCCGTATGGGAAGTTGAACATATGCGGCACCAATATTGGACATCAATTAATGAACAAATTTACCGAAGTTTTTATTTATAAATATCATATCTTTACACTATATTTTTTAATGTACACCGCATTTGGAGCTTAAAATATGTAATTAAAAGCAATCATATCATAAACAATGCTGGCAATGTCGTAAATTTATCGACCAAGAAAAAGTATTAGCCCGATAATTGCTCCGTGTCGAAAGTAATTCCTTGAAACATTTCGATCGGCTTATACGTTAGATAGAGTCTGATATCTCGTAAACCAATACTGAAACGCATGCCAGAGATATATCCTGTCTAGCATCGAAATGGCCGTACTTTATCAAAGTATTTTACATTTATTTTGGTCACGGTGCTCCCACCGATCAAGCTTAAGTGGATACGTCAACTTCCAATGCAAATCTAACATTACCGCGTGAATGTCATTACCCGTCGTAGCCGATGCGTGACGGCTGCCCATCGCGGGTGTACGACTTCGTGGGGTACGGTTTTTTTTTTTTTTTTTTTTTTTTTTTTGCAAAACGGTAACGATGGATATCGCACGTTCGGAGGACTTTCTCCCGAGCTGTGCGCGCGCGCGCGCGAATGGTATGTATGTACGAAGATCCGGTATTCTTGGCATACAACGTACCAGTCTGGAACAGTTACCGTAGCCTCGGGAGAGCAATTAGACTCTTGTGATTAAAGCTCTAATCTCTCTGATATCCCGGCTGAAACTCGTCTTCGGATTACTGCGGAACGCAAAACGGATACGCGGACTTACGAGACGTACGCGCGGCCGATGCACATTGCGCCCGAATTGTATTCCGTCTCTACGTCTTTCTCATCTCTCTTGTCCGAGGAATGTATTTATATCCGTATCGAACAATACGTTACATGTGCATACATGCGGCAGAATGCGAGCGAAAAATCTCCGATCCTTTCCGCGGACGAAGAAGCTTACGATTTTTGCAATTCTCTTCCTTCTTTGCAATAAAGTTGACGAGTACGTATTGAGAAAAATTTCTGATTCAAAATAAACGAAAAAAAGAAAATTCTGATCGTATCTATCAGAATTCTGATTATCTCAATTCTATCTCTAGAATTATAATATAATTGATGCAATCAGAAAATTCTGATTTGTC